AAAAAAAAAAAAAGAGTAAATCACAGATAAAATAACCCGAGGGAAAAAATGTAATTCACACACAACAGCTAAAGTACATAAATATTTTCACGTGGCCTCACCCTCTCAAGAATTATGAGAATCACATGATCTTTTATGGGTATGGTCTCTCATAACTTTTGTCACTTATGACAGTCAGGACAGTTACTCCATCAGGAAATATTACTGAAGTTCCTCTAGCTCATTGCCTGGTGTTACCAGTTGATAACAGTACCTTGCATTCATACAATAGCACTTCAGCTTTGGTCTTTTATTTGATTTCTATCATAGTCCTGTGATTAAACATGGTAGATAATGCTTGTCCCATTTATATGGGAGGAGATTGGAGAAGATAAGTAACTGCATTCAAAAAAAAAAAGAAAGAAAAAATTTATATACTTGGACATTGGGGGTGACCTTGAAGACCAGGTGGGCAGATGGCTGCTGGCTCCAAAAGCTATTTGTGGTCATTGTTTCTCTGGCTGAAGGGAAGTTAGTAATGAGATCTGGCTGTGAGGGCTGATAGAAAGGAGCACCAGCATGAACCTACCAGATCGAAGCTCACCTTGAAATCAAGAGTAATGAACAGAATGTTAGCAAATTACCTGATCCTACTATTCTTCAGGTTTACAGTAAATTGTCAGAACTGACCTGTTTTTGCAGGTAGTCATGTGATCTGAGCTTGGGTAACAGAGGGGGCGGGAAGCAGAGTCTTCCGGAAAACCAGCATGGCATTTCCCCATCATTTCATCACTTGTTGGAGCAGAGGCTGGTTTGTAGGGTGCTGGCTGGACCTCTGAGAGGGGATATGAGTCCTTGCCCTGGATTGCACCTCCAGCGGACTCCAGAGACTGCCGAATGTACTGTGTACTGAATCAGGGGCAGGCCGTTTGCATTAAGCATTCTTTCCAACATCTCAGGTTATAGTGCTCAGTCCCAGCTGCATGTTAGAACAACCCAGGGAGCCTTGAAAACCACAGGGCCAATTGGGTCAGGGTCCCTGGGGGTGTCCTGGGTGACGCCCACATGTGGCCAGGTTTGGGACCACAGGTGTGAAGCACCTGCTTCAGAGTATTCACAAGGGATCACCCTGCACCTGTGAGATACTATTTATGTACAGGTTGTCTTGTTTTGCCGGCTCTAGCAATCACTGTCCTTGCAAGGAGGTAGAAGCCTTGCCTTTGAGGAGGGTAGGGTCCACCTCAGTGGAGAGTAGCACAAGCCATGGCAAATCAAACCCTCCTCTTATCTAACTTTAAAAGCACCAAGTGTAACATCTGTAAAACTGTTTTTGTGCAGTCAACTGCTTGGATCAGCATGTTCAGAAGTCCCCGGAGAGCGTTGCTTTGATCTGGGAGCGGGATGAGCCTGGAACTGAAGTGAGGATCACGTACAGGTACAGTGTGTCCCCTAACAACATCTCAGTGCCCAGCAGGGTCTCCTGGGCCTTTACGTCTCTGTTTGTGGTAGACCCCAGCACCAAACACCTCTGCTGGGCTATTAGCAGGAGCAAGACTGCCCAGCTTGGAGGAGGGCTGCCCTTCTTGTTCACCCTGGCAATACTTGGTGCCTTTAGGTTCCCAAGGAAGGATCTGGGTCTTTGGACACAAATGTGATGAATGTTCAAGGCATGAGGAGGCTTTTGGCACAGTCCTGTATGCTTCTGTCTGGTTCTAGGTGGAGGTCATCTTTGTATCAAAGGGCATTTTTCAGCTTTGGAAATGTTCTGTGGTCCCAGAAGAGTAAACATGAGTGCAAAGTGAATAAAATACATGCTGGAATAAACAAATGAGCCTGCTCAGCCTCTTTCTTCCAGTGCTCTGAGAGGGGGACCATAAATAAGATCAAGCCATTTAAAGGGGGTCTTCCTGACATTTGTGTTCTTTGATTCTTTAGATAAGTTCTTTACACATTCCATGTGTCAAGCACCTTTCTGGTTGTTGTGTGCATGTCAGGGTTTGAAGGAGCCCGGCATCTGGGAATAGTAACCCGGCTTTCTAAGGCACTGCCTCTTGCTGGGATTGCCTTGCTCAGGGATCTCTGTCGTTTGTCCCTGCAGGCCAGTGGTTTCCCCTTCCCCGGGGGTAAAACCTCCTTTGGTTAAGCCTAAACTTGCCTTTACTATGCTATCTCAGACCCACCGTGAACCTGAGTTGTATGTCCTTTATCACCAACACCACCCCTCTCCTCCATCAAGTAATGCTCATTCTCCTAGTGGGCAGCTTGTGACTCTTCTTGTCCCATCATTAAACAAGTTTCACTGAGTGCCACCATTATCAGTCAGGACAGGCTGGGGTATGTCGTAGTAACCAACAGTCCACAGATGCATGGTAGGGTGTGGCTGGCTGGTCACTTTAGACTGAATAGTCAGGGAAGTCCTCTCTGAGGAGGTGACATCAGAGCTGAGGTCTCGTTGCCAAGAAGGAGCAGCCAAGATTGGAGGAAGAATTCCCAGACCCTTCCAGGACTGTGAATAAGTGTAGGTGTCCTGGGAACAGAGAGAAGGTGCATGTGGCTGGGGCAGTGGGAATGAGGGGGGCATGGTAGGAGGGCTGTTCAGGGAAGCAGGGGGCCTGAGAGCAACAGTGACTGTTGGTGACCTGTCACTTGGGTGACTTGGGGGCTATTGGGCACCCCTAGGTTGGTTTGTTTCTCAGACTTAGATTTTATCACAGACTAAATTTACTAAACCTGGTGAAATTGTACTCAAGGTGAATTTTGGATGCAGCAAAATGATGTTAATCTGCTTCAGCTCCCTGTGGGCACAACCTTACCCATCCCCCATCAACAACCCTTGGCTGTCATGCCCTTTACCAGTGTCTGCATTGTTTGCTGACCTGTCTCCCCACCAGCCCGTACAGATAAACCTCTTGCCTCTGGGTAGCCCACCGACCAGCAGCATTGGCCCTGGGAGCCTTGGGCCCCACCCCGACAACTGAGGCAGATCTTCAGGTCCCTGGGCACACTTGAGTTTGGGGAGCACGGCTCTAACAAACAAACTGGCTTCATCGGTCGTTACTATTATCGACCCAACTGGATTTATGTTTAATTCTTTAGTAAAAGATTAAGACTCTGTGGGTGAGGGGTAGATGGGCTTACTGCCTGGATGCTGGATGTAAGCTGGTTCAGCGATGGACCATTTTCCTTCTGTCACTGCCTCAGATGTGCCTGGACCCCAGGTCTCCCTTGGCTGCACATCCCCCATGTGCACACCAAGTTAGAGGTCAGCAGCGTTAGGTGGTCCGAGGGCTGGGCTTGAACTGGCCTGCTGAGATGTGTGGTTGAATGTAAGCCACAGGGGAACTGTCAGGAATGCACCATTGTGTTAAAAGCTCAGAACTGCTTTAGTTCCATGGTACCAGAACAGCCCCAGGCAAGGGACATAGACACCTAGATTCTACCCTTAACATTTCACAATGCTGGTTTTTATCCCATGTGATTTATGTTTCCATCCCTCCATGGGTCGGTCCATCTTATGTGTTGGATGCATTTCAGCAGCATAGCATTAACTAGAATTCATTGTGTGCTTATTTTCTCTCTTTTGATGTGAAATTTATATGCCATGAAATGCATGGCATATAAATTTGCCATGTGGGCTACCCAGAGGCAAGAGGTTTATCTGTACCCATGCCATGAAATGCACAAGTGTACCTTTGCTGAGTTTTGATCAATGTGTACACCTGTGTAACTCAAATCCTTATCGAGATACAGAATAATGACCACTGTCCCAGAGGGTTCCCGTGCCCCTTCTCAGTCACTATCCCTACCCTCCCCAAGCAACCACCCTTCTGATTTTTTCCCAAATAGGTTGTCAAAGCTTTATCTTAGAGATAAGGAGGGGGCTCAGAGAGAGGAGCAGATCTCTCCCTCCTGGGGCTGCTGAATGTTTTTGAGGAGGCACGTTCCTGGAGAATCATTGTAGAGCTTGTAATGGGGCCCAACAACTCCTGCCTAGTGACCCTAGTGACGCCTCCATCCTGCTCAGCAGAATCTCCACTGCTTGCCCCATGTCTGGGCGGACACCCGTGCACACACACACACACACACACACACGTGGTGCACACATGGTTGTGTGCTCACACACATACATTTTAAGCGTGCTCGTTTTCAAGGCACGTTTCTACAACTTGCTCTTTGCGTTTGGGATCCAGCCTGGAAATGTTCTCTCGGGTGGCAGTGAGGGCCCTGCCACCTGTTCTGGGAGATGTGCCCTGTGTTGCCGGTGGCTAGACTCCACTGTTCTGAATACTGGCACATATTTCTAACCTCACCTCCCTTGGGTGCGGGAGGCTGGGCAGGATTGGCTTTGGGAACCCTGGGGAAGCCCCATGTCCTCGCCTGCCCCACCAGTTCCTTCCCTCTGTGACATCAGTTGGCACTGGTCCCAAGGAGCAGTGCAGGTGGGCCCTGTGCTGGCCATGGGGCTCTGGGCGGAGGAGAGCTCAACAGCCGTGGCTCTGTCAAGCAGAGGGCACCTGTGACCTTAGGCTGGAACCAGGGTCAGAGGGCTGCCCCAGCCCAATTTCTAGCCTACCTCTGCCCAGAGAGTTTATGTTCAGAGCCGGCCTGAGGAAGCTGTTCTATCCTAGGGAGCGAGCAGACCGCAAGCCCCGGGCCCCTCCTGCATCCCCTGAGGCCTGTGAGTGCGGGGGCTGCCGAGGCCAGGCAGGGCACAGATAACCTGGGTGGCTCCCTGAGGCTGTGCGGCCAGATTGCACCCTGGGCGCTGCTCCTTCCGACTGTCCACATGTGCTTTTCCAAGCACAGTGCCTTTCTAGAAGATTGTCCTTCACCTCTAGTTCAAGTAGACAGATTCTAGAGGCCCTTGGGGATGAAGATGTGGAAAAGTGGAAAAACACAAATCCCTGTCCTCAGAAGTTGGTGGTGGGGTGCTGGGTAGATTCTGAGGCTCCTAGACTGCTGTCTGCCTGGAACCTGGAGGTCTGGGCTAAGGATTTCCAAGCTGGGGATGGACACAGGACGTGGAGTGGAGCAGACGGAGGCCCTGTGGCTGGTCTCAGCCTCTGGGGTATATGTGGGTGCCCTGAAACAGGTGACAGCAGGCTGTGGGTGTCTTTCTTAGAGTATTTACCAAGGCTCAGCTCATCTTTTGTCTGAGTACTCCAAACAGAGGTCTGAACTTGAACTTGAACTGAGAACTTAAGCCAAAGACCAAATTTAAGCCCTGGCCAGCTCTATGACCTCGAGGTCCTCACTGTCCCCAGCTGTAAAATGAGGGCCCAGATGACACCAGCACTACTCCAGCCCTAGCAGGCCTGGCTCCATGCGGTAGTCACACCCAGCATGGTGCAATCGAGCCCAACACAGGCCGCACCGTGATGGGCAGCTGTTGTCTTAGATGTACTTCCAGCATGAACTGAGTATGGTTCTCACTGTGGGTCAAGCTCCTGGAGGGGGTGATTTCCGTGGCTGTTCCGTTTTCTTTCTGGCGGGAGGTGTGCACCGTGAGGAACCCCTGTCCAGAGGAGCAGAGGGGCTGTCAGGCCTCCTTCACCCTGCCTGCCTCAGAAGCCCTGGGTGGGCGTAGAGGGGCCGGCTTCCTTCCTGGGCATGCTGGGGCCAGGCACTGGGTGTTATCGAGCCTCTACACGACCGGTGCCTCATGTGGAGGGCCCACAGAGAATAGAAAATGGGGTCTTGCCCTTTGGGGTACCCCTCTCTCTGGGGCAGCTTGACCAACACACCTGGAGCTGGGGCAGGCCTACAGCCTAGAGGCACCTCCCGAAGAAGCTTCTTTGTTTCCTTGGCCCTGGGTGTCCCAGAAAGGAGGGCCCCTGTGGGCACCAGCAGTAGGAACTGGGGAGTCTCAACATGGACACCCAGTTGGAGAAGGCTCTGGGGCAGTTCTGAGGAGGGTTGGCTTTTGAGAGGCACGGTGGGGGGTGTGTGATGAGGAAGACAGAGAAGCAATGGCAGGTGGGTGCGCTGTAGGGAGAGGGGAGAGGGGCCAGGGATGGGGGAAGTGGAGGGCTGTGCTCCATGTCTGCTCTGGCTTCTGGCTGTGCGTGACCCTGAGCAAGTCATTCCGCCTTTCTGTTTCCTCATCTGCAAAATGGAAACATGCCTCTCCTCTGCTGGATGGCCAAGTGTGGAGCAGCACCTGGGGGTTGAAAGCCCAGAACAGGGTCTGGGAAGATGAGGCTTTGGGATCTGATGAGGGAAGGGCATGTGGCTGCCGGGGCCGGGAGCTGGTGGGGTGGTGTTTTCAGAGCAGGGACTTCACCTCCGGAGAGCAATCTCTAGTCAGCTAAAAAGCAGCCCCTCCCCCTTCTTGTGGGTCTGACCCTTGTTCCTTGCTCTTCTCCTCGGCCCCAAATTAATTACTTTAATGAGCAAACTCCTTTATTAAAATAAACAGGGCAACTGAAAGGAAGG